GGGGACAAAGAACAAAATCAGATGGTGTACTTGTTGGCTAAACAAGCTCTGAAAAAGGACAACATTATGAAGGTACAGATGGGTGACAAATTTAGGGAAATATTATGACTTGCACATTCATCACGTCAGCCCATCCGAACACCTACTGGAAATTTTAATGATGTTAGGCTGCTCTCTTTATCGCCATCACCAAAGGACTTGGGGAATGCTGTTAGCCAGCGCAACACAGTCTGCTTGCGTATTGTTTCTGATCGTGTTAATCCCTTTATGAACATTTGGACCAGCCCTCTAATGGCTGCTTCCAGCAGGATAACGCACCATATCACAAAGCTCAAATAATCTAAAAGTTTTTTTTAACAGAGTTCAACACTCAAATGGACTCAACAGTCACCAGATCTTAATCCGGCAGCACCTTTGAAATGTACTGAAACAAGAGATTGGCATGATGGATGTGCAGTCTACAAATCTGCAGAAACTGCATAATGAAACAATGTGGACCAAAATCTCTGAGCACCACCTTGCTGAATCTATAATAATGAAAGCAATTCTAAAGGTGAACGGGGGTCCAATCTGGTACTAATTATATCTAATAAACTGGGCAGTGAGTATGTAAAACAAAGCAAAAGGTGTGAAAAATGAAAACAACAGAGAAAAAAAACTTTAGAGTGCAAACAAATCAGTTTGGTACAGATGTATTTACCTAGGATCGACACTTTCATATCGTACAGTAAAGACTCTACAGTTGTTAGAGCGGGAACGTTGGGGCAGTTGGTAAAAGTGGGAAGGAAGAACTAACTTTTAACAGGAATACATCTCCAGTACAACCAGTTTCATGGAGGGGAAGCTGGAGCCGGGGTCCTGAGAAGAAAGGAGCAAAAATTAAACAGTCCAAAGCAAACAAAAGTACTCACCTTTGAGACTTTGCTTAGGGTCAGTTAAAACAATGCCAATATGTGCTTTAAGGGTAGACTCAGATGAAATGCCACTATATATTAGAAGAAAACTGTTAATAGTTCATTATTAGATACATTTGAAAGGTCATAATAAAAGTCATCCTGTTAACAAAGTGTTAGAAAATTGTTGGGAAAGAGGAAAGGATTTTTCAGGTACAAGTACAGTGACTATTTGCAGATTTATACAGATGGATCGAAAAATCCAAAAATTAAACAAGTGCGGCAGTTGTCATTCCAGAAGAAATTCCTAAGGAAATTGAAGTGTCGCAGTATAACCCAAGAGATGGCAGTAGTGCAACACTGATAGACTGCAAGCTGCCGTATAAAAGCGAAGAAAAAAAACACGAACGCAGTCACCGATCGCGCTCCAGTCCAGCAGGTGGCGGAAAAAAGCTCGATCCAAGTTGGGGTCACAGCCGCCAATGAATCCAACGAAGAAGGAGAAGAAGTTAAACGTGTATGCGAGGCACACAGTGTTTCCACAGCGGGATACATAACCGTATTTTCACTTACCCTAAATCTTCCAGAGAGACAAGAATGTCATTCTCCATCCTACTGTTCCCGAGTTATCTACTAAAATCACGAAATACAGATTCCACATCAGCCAGCTCA